AGTTCGCGAAAACACCTCGTGGGTTACATAACAGGGGGGTGAATATTTTCACGAAACGTTTGTTCGCCACCACAGCAACCTAACTAAATGTATTATATTTTTTGTATTTTTATAATTGATGATAAATATACACTAATATTTATTGTTTTTATCAAAAATATACAATAAATATAATGTACCTAACTTAGGTTGCTGTGGCCTGTGGTGGCGAACAAACGTTTCGTGAAAATATTCACCCCCCCCTGTTATGTAACCCACGAGGTGTTTTCGCGAACTTGCGCGTGACTTTTAAATTATTTCTTTTGAATTCTAACAGGACAATTGTACTGGGAGGTTTTTTCCTCCAAAGTACAAATAATATTTCCAATTTTTGGATTGGGACTATTCTACAATGAAGTACTCTTGGATAATGTAATCTAAATACATATGAAAACGAAGAAGTGGCATTTATCGGGCAGAGAAGTGGCGAGCCATTAAAATGGCGGCAATTTGACGAGATATCGAAGGACACATTATCGAAGATAAAATACACTGCACTGTTTCAAAAGTGGATGAAACCTTCTTTGAAATCTTCTTCAGCCATTTATGATTATGTAAAAGTACAATAACTGGATGATATTTGCGTGATTCGGCGATAAAAAGCAAACAAGACAGCAAAATATGGCTGAAATCGCGTTTTCGTGGGGGTAAGTGAAATAAAATTTATTATATTTAAAGAAAACAATGACAATCCTTATGAAATCAACAATATTTACATTAAATTAAGCATAGTTTTTAACCCCATGATATTTTTTTTTAGGAAATAAGAATATTTAATTTCTGCCAGGCATATTAGTTATTTTATGCATAATCAGCAATTTACCTGGGGTGGTGCATGGTCATTTTCTTGTAAAATATTATACTTGGACAAATTTTTCTTCCAATGACCACCCCTAAAAGCAACCCTTCCAACCACTATAAGCACTTCAGAAAGACTATCGCTTTTTGTTTTCTGAAGTTAGAGCTATGTCGACACTGCCGTTTCAGGGCGGGGTCATTTTCAGGACTTTCGTCCCGGATGCAGCTTTTGGCACATATGCCATGTTGACCGCCATGGTCATTTTACCCTAAAACAGTTGAGATTACCTGTGCTAAATGAAACGCATACAAACTCATATACAGGTCCTAGACTACACAGCACCGCCCACAAACGTAAGCGCACCGCCTCACAGACATAAAGGAATTTCAATGTCGTGACCAGCACGTTTGATTTTAAAATAGCAAATATCGTTTAGTTTCAATATTTGAAGCAATTTTACTTTGAATTTTTATGAATGGATATCAATCTTCACAAATTCAAACTACAGAGATCTGAAAATATGTCTATAAGCGCTTTATATTATTTTACTAGTCGCGACAATGAAATTCTTTTATGTCTGAGAGCGACTTTGGAAACGTTTGTGGGCGGTGCCGTGATCTATTTTTAAGCAAGGAGACCGCACATGGGTGGTCGTAGTATGTAGACCAAATAACTGAAAATGTTATAGCGCTTGTAAATATTTAAAAAGTTAAACCAGGATCAAAGTTACTGGTCAGTAAAAATCGAAAAATTGCATCGCGTTTTCGAATGACGTCCAGTGTGTTTTGGCCGTAAGACATAATATGAACAACAACAAGGACAACAATTTTTTAATCAAAAAACAAAAAAATTACAAATATTTGACAGGTGTCCCCATGAACATAATCCTCCCAGTAAAAAGAAGAAAAGAAAGAATTGCATAGGATGTATATTAACCGAAGAACACGTTTTTGAAGTTTTAAAATTTTATCAAGATGAACTTTGGCTACTGCTATGCGAACTTGAACACTGACTTGAACACGAATGGACTTGAACACGAACAATAAGACAGTCGTTTTTAAGGTACTGTCGATCATGTAAGGTTTCAGTAAAAGTGAAGTCCACATATCAGTAGATAACCCCCCCCCCC